TATTCACAAACAAATGAAACAATTCTATGTTCGAAAAGACACTTATACACACCTTAATTTAATTTCGAAGTCATTATTAGTCATATATGTACATAAAATATATTACCGTAAATTACCACAGTAATTTACGACACAAATTTATTACCATGGTAATTAATTTTGGTAATTAAAACCCGTAAATTACCACCGTAAATTACCAAAAATATAAATTACGGTAATTTTACATCACTGGTTGGATACATCAGATTTTTAAAATTGATATCCAGTAACAAAGTAACAGATCACTGTATGCTTCTATCAAGCTTGATTTTAAAAGGTAAGATTTGAAAAATACTGCTTTATTGAAAACATTCTATATCCACTATTACAAAACTTTTCAGGTTTATCCATATCTTTTATTTCCTATTGTCAAAGAAAATTTGCTGTAGTTGAAATTAACGAGATCCTAGATAATACATACTAGTGTTTTGGATTAATAAGAGTGAACTGTAGTTTTAAGTATTTATTTTAACAATAATTGTAACTTGAACATTTATTTTAAAAAACATTTTTTTTTTCTAGAAAAAACAAAGAGCATCTTTTCAAAATTAGTTTTTTTTTACATTCATGTCGACTGTAGCTGTGGGATCTTTGTTAGGAACTATTGATAAGCCACTTGTACTTGGAATCAGTATCGCTGAGTTCAATGGGAGTTGTACTTACAATATTAACGATGCTAGTAATAGTAATTCACATGCCTTTTGAGATATTTCGTTTTCCCTTTTTCAAAAAAAAGGTAAGTTTTTTCTTTTTTTTTTACCATGAGGCCGCACCAGTTCTTTTTATTATTTAGCAAGTCATTTTAGAATAATGTTTTTGGGCAATCTGGATGTTTTATTTAACACCGGTTTTGCTTTTGTTTTTGTCTTAAGTAATGTTGGTAGCTTGTAGGGCTGTGAACCTTAGTAAGTAAATTTTAATTTGGGGAAAAGGTTCACAGATAAGAAAAATTGTTCGTTTTATTTTGAACCAGCCATACCTATCCTGACACGGTTTTTCTTGGCTAATTTTAAGGCAACCGCCCCACCACCACGACGACCAATACCTTTTTGGTAGGACTGGGAACTTTTTTATCCATGCAGCTGGGGTTGCAGAAAAGCAAGGAACTTCCTATGGTACCTTCTCCAGCTATAGTTATGGCAGAAGAGTTACGTTGTTCCTTTAGGATGATGTGTCTGTGTCCTGATTTAGGATGTAGTTTTGCCGACGTCGCCGGATCAATCTATATGGCTGGTGAACAGGTTATGTGGAATTAAGTTTATTATTTATTACGCCAATGAATTTTTTTTTATTATCTTTGCTCTGTTTATAATATCTAATATCCTAATTATATTTTTGGTGCATTATTCAAGGGAACTTGACTGTAGTCTGGTGGTATATTATTGTTTGACTAATACTGCAGTTGGGTCTCGCCGTTTGATATTCGGTACAGACTGGAGTCAGCTTTTCTTGTTACTGTTTAACGGGGAGGGGGAATACTTAATGTAAGTTATATGCTGCTCATGCGCAGTGTGGGGATATTATTCCCTGGGATTTTACTTGGGTCTATGTTCCTATATTTTACCTGTACAGATTGTAAAGCGAAAATTAACGTTTAACATTTACTGCTGTCGTGTTTTCATGGGAAATTGATTCTCACGCATCGTCGCTTTTGGTACCAAACCCTAACGACCTTATTCATAACTCTTTGAATAGTTAGCTCCTTTAATCTTCGCTACTGTAGGAAGTATCACCACGTGATACTGATTTGGATATTGAAATTATTTAAATTCATTATTAAATTAGATATTTTTGATAGTGAGATATTTTGATATTGGGATCGTTTGATACTTTAATATTTAGCTACTTAAGGTCTTGATACTTTAATATTTAACTACCTTAATGTTTTGATACTTTAATATTTTGGTACACTTATGTTTTGATAATTTAATATTTTATGCTACTTTAATATTTTGATACTTGAAAATTTTGATGTCGGGATATTTTGACATTAGTGGTTCTTTTTAAAAAAAGGATATTTATTTTTTTAGCGGTTGTAATTTGTAGGTTACCAACCTCATTTGGTGTGGTTACTTGATTTGTTATTACCCTTTTGGTTTGTGCACACTTTTCAACTTTTTAATAAATCGGTGTATTTTTGGAGTTTGTCCTTTTCTTTACCCGACTTTGATGACTTGCACGGTAAATTTGGTTCTGAATAAAGGGGGATTGAAGTCATCTGGCGCCCAAGAAGAATCGAACTTAAGTAGAATTTAACCAGACATAGTTCAGTTTAGCTCCCAGGTACTGATTTTATCGGTAAATATATTAAGTCTTCATATTAACATAGACACAACTATTTAGTTTCCTGAATTAATTTAGCCAAGTGCAATTGTTATTTTTTATATCGTCTTTAAAAAAAACTGTAATGTAAGTTTAGCTTCTATTTTTTTGTAAATGCATGCGACACCATCATTCGAGTAAAATCCTCACCGCTACATAAACTCTGTTTATTAGTAGCTCTAGCATTTATATTAGGGACAACCTACAAAATAAAATAATTATTCATACAAAATTGTACTAGGGCCACGAACTTATCCTTGTTCAAATAAAATATATAATAAAATACTTGTGAAATACCTTCTGGTACAATGATTTTTCTTGGCTGGCAACTGCAATCTAAGATCTGTTTAAAGTTACGTACATTGCCATAAGAGCTCAGTCATCGCTTAATTTTGACGGTTTTCCTATAAAAGACTACCGATGACATTGTATCCATTTACACAGTTTTCTATTTTAGAGTTGGGTATAAAACACATGACTATTTTGTAGAAACTGGAACGAAACTAAATATAAATAAACAACATAACCTCAAAAATAATAGTAAATGTTTTACCTGGAACTTGGAGACATGTTACGTTAACAATCATTGAATTGACACACATACTTCCGATTTAATAAATTCGCAGTTTTATTTAAACACGGTTTTTAAATAAACACAATTTAGAGTTTGACAGCTTGATTGGAAACAACGAGATATAATAATGTAGAGAGGAAATAAACACTATTTTGCGACATGACAAGTGAACGCACTTTGAGTCGTATTTTGATTAATTTGACGTTAATAATTTTATATTTGAAGATTGACTGAATATTAAAAAAGGTATTTATACTCACTAAAACTGACTAGCTCCACTTTTGAGATTGGCAAATGACGTAAAACTATGCGGACATTTTTAGTATCGTCACAGTATCTCCTCTTTATTTTATATCAATGATTGAAAAGTTCGTATGCCCCGCCCTACTTTATGACGTCACTGTGTGCGTTGCACAAATTAAGTTGATTTAAGTGATTTTATGTTTGTTTCACTACTTTTCACGGATCTGTTAACGTGTAAAATCTCTTTTTAGCTAATTTCGAGACTTTCGAGAACACTTCTCACTCTCTCGGGCTCACTTATAAAAGAGCGCCACGGAAACGCGATTAGCCAGAGCGCAGTGGCGAACCCAAAAATAGATATTAACACGTATGAAAACAATAAAATTATTAAAATTGAATTAATATTTTTGTTATTTATTTTAAAATAATGCGTTTTTATGAAATGTAGGATAAACCGCCCCTGCTGCTACCTATATGTCTTTCGTAAGTTAAGCTCCCTCGAAGTAAAGTTTCCAGATCATTTTTTGAAGTGTTTTCCCCTGCAGGCCTAATCCTCTAAAAACTGAATATTTTTTTAATCATTAATTAAAATATCTAGTACTTAAATTCTTCCTATATAACTGAATTAAGACTCATCCTGAATTTGTTAAAAACACGGTACGAATTCTGTTCTAAAGAAAGATAGTTAGGTGGTAATCGGTAATATGACGACTGGTTTAGATTACCAACCAGTTTGTTAAAAGAGATGAACCTAAATTGATTTAAAAATGTGATTGCTCGAGGTGCCTTGTATAAAGCAAGTGTAATTTTTTTCCAGCTAGTGCAATCTCAGGTTTTATCGATGACTTATTATTAAATATAAATACAGCATTATCCAAGTCGTTTCTTTTGTTCAGTAAGTTTACAGTGTGTGCTGTGCCCTCCCTAAAAAAGCTGATGTGGTATCGCGCATCTGCTGGAGGCGTAAGCAAATAATACAATACTTCTGCAGTTATTTATGAAAACTGTAAATCAGAAGAACTGCATGCTCTTTCCTTAATGTTCCCCTAAACATCTCTTAAAAATCGAATGTGGTTTTTGAAGCAAAGGGGTTGTACCTCTAAAGAGAGTTCGCACCCACATTTTAAAAATTTTATAAATTTTTTTCTTCTATTTGGCTATTTTATCTCCAATTTACAGCGACTAGTATTAAGGAATAGCAGTCTTGTAGCATCGAGGACAGCTTTAATCTCGACCACGCGCAGTGTTGGTCTTTCCCATATTTTATAACGCATTCATTTCCACTTGGTATTTTTGCGAGCTCGCTCGTTCTCATCGCGTTCTCCTCCTATCTTTTCTAAAGAATTTCGGGAGACCGCGATGGGATTGAGACTAGCACAGTCCGCGATTCGAGGGGACCGCGTTTGCTTAATGCGTTCCCTCCTTTAATGTTTTTATTTAGATCTTATACTCGTATATCCAAAAACAAAGCAATTTAAAACTAAAGCCTTGACTGCGGTTTATCTTGCTACGCTACTGGCTCAAACATTGTTACACAGCTATCCGTAAGCTTCACTGGTTCCCATCAAAAAGCCGAGTCGGAATACATCCAACCCCGGAGATTACCTTTTCATCCATTATATTCCATAGTTCGACTACAAATATTGCCCCGTAAAACAGAAAGAAAGAATCGATTATTCAAAACATCTTTGCCATACTGGCTCGCGATATCTCTCTAGAAAGCATTCCCGTTCAATCTACCGTAAAAAAACGTTCTCATTTGATCTTCCCGAGAGACAAAAAGAGTCGAGAAGCGAAAAAAGAAAAATAACGGGTAACTTACCTTATCGTCTTCACCCTCGCTATCACACTGAAACAAAAAAAGCAAACCATTAACAATTCAAAAAACATTAATAAAAAAAAGAAACGGAAGAGAATGGAAAAGGATATTGTATTGCTATTGTCGGAAAATGAAACCCGAGTGAGCAGGGCTGGTTTCCAGGAAAGATAATCCTGGCTATATTTTCGTAATACGATAAAATGAATAAAAATCATTGTATATGTTTGTACGAACCCTGCATACAAATTGTTTGGGTAAAAATAACAAATGTGTTTTCGAAGTAGGTATTTCCATCTGTACATAATTTCCTATTTCCTTCTGTCAAAGTGTGCCTTATTAATATTCAGTTTATCGAGTAGGGGAAGAGACACCAACGGCGCAATCCCATAATTGGATGTCATAAATCTAAAGCGGTTATACTATTTGGTTATTCAGGATCTTGCTTTATTGGCACCAGAAATTGAGTTCAACTAACCAATATAGTTATTGGAAGTTGATAAACCCTAATATTATATTAAACTTTTCACTTATTAATAAATTATTAATGTAGTAATTGTCATTTAAACTAGTTTATGTATTATTTATATATGTATTATCAAAAATAGAAGGATATATCCTCAATCATTCTTGTATATTATGATTTTAAAAATCTCAAAATCCAACCAAATAGTGTGTGGCTAGAAAATAACTGCATTTTTTGCTTTGGTAATGCGCAACATTTTTTCTCCAACGTTAATCTATGCCACGTCTCTTTTATAATGCCGTTTGAATTGAATTGAACCAATAGCAACGAATACTCGTATATATATTAATGCCCTTTTGACATTGTCAATGTGCATGATTTTTCTATTCAACGTAAATATACATGTAATTTCCCCCACTTCCCCGGTTTTCCCGTTTGAATCGGACCAATAATAGCAAAGATATGATTTAATACCCTTTTGTCTTTACCATTGCGCATGATTCTTCTCTTCAACGTTAATCTACATGTAATATCCTCTACACCCCCGTTCTTCCCGTTTGAATCGGACCAATAATAACGAAGATATAGACTAAGGTCCTTTTGGCTTTGTCATTGAGCATGATTTTTATTTTTAACGTTTACCTGTACTCGTTCACGTAAACTATGACCGCCAAATTGTATCGTTCAGCCGAGTCGCAAACTACTTATCCAAGTTTCACTTCTCAACACTGACAGGTGGCGACATCTAGTGGCGACTTTTGGAAGTAACGGTACAGCACGATTATTTCTTCTTTATATATTTATATTATATATTTTTGTAAAAATTGTAGAATTATAAAAATAGTTTAATCTGTAAGTTGAACTATTTATTTTTAGTATACAGTATTTTTATTTACTTAAGTTATAGAGTGATTTACGAATTTCAAGTGTGTGTTTTTGAAAAGATCGGGGAGAGTCTCAAAAAAGTATTTAGGCTGCTACTGAATATATAGGAATAGAAAAAAAAGAATTAAGACAGGATTGCATTATTTGTCAAAAGGTTTTTGAACAAGTATTTCCCAAGATTTCCGTATATTAGAACATCTACCCTAATCAATAGATTCCGCCTCATGTGACTTTTTTATTAGGTAAAATGAGCACTGAAAGAAACTAGGCAGACAGTAGAGTTGTCCAAGAAAAACGGAGAAGACTATGAACATTCTTTAAAAAAATTATAATAGCTCTGTTATGGCCAATGAAAAATTCGTGAATTGTGAAAGAAAAGCAATAAACGATTTTTTTTTTTAATTTTGACATACAAAGTCACATTTTTTGTAATCGCAGCAAGTAGTGTCAAAATGTTCTACCTTATGCAACCAGTTGAAACTGGGAAAAATAGTCACATCATCCTTAAAACGGTCCTGGAGGCGTAAAAATAAATATAAAACAGAATGGAGAAAAGTTTCAGGATTTTGTTCATTTCCTTTGTTAGCGTTGTTTAATGCCATTCCAATTGGAAATCGGACCACGCAAAAACCGTTATAGGCGAAAATGCATACCGATTTTATTTACACAGGGAATTAAAATGTGTCTACTACTATATTTTTCTAATAAGAACGAAATTGTAGGGAAATTACTCAAAAATCAGCGAAATATATTTGCAAAAATCTAATCTATCTTCTGAAACCAATACTCATTGGATCCTTAAATTTCGGTATGCTGCTAACAATTTTTTCACATGTTATCTCATTTTGTAACAAACTTTTCCTTGGCTTGTGTGGTTTTTCACCATTTTTCCAATTTTCACTTCAATACATTTAGATACCATCGGGGTGGTAGAATCTCACCAAATGGACACATAAAAATGAGGGCAGCTAGAGATGTAGGACACTGACTAGCTGAGAGGCTGGCTGTCCCTAGATACCTCTTAGCGACAACCAGTAGGTTCTAGAACCTATCTATATGCCCCTGGAGGGTACCTAGTGAGGCCTAAGTGATGTGGGGGGCAACCCACCTTTCCTATCTTACAGATCTGAAATATTCTGGTTATTATGTGCCCCCCCGTACTACCTTAATTTGTGGTTTTCAAAATCGTATGTTTAATTTTTCTCTTTGTCCTAATTTGGTTTCCGGTAATTTTCCTGCCTATATTTGCTGTTCTTGCAGGTTTGTTGATTTTTCTAATTTATTCTTAACAAAAATTACGTCAGAATAACTTGGTGCTCTATGGCAACTAATCAAATTTTAATAATTACAATTTCTTTTGTTGTCAAACAGATTTACAACCTGCTATGACTAATAACTTTTTGTTCTAGCTTCTACGAGGGGAAGACGAAACGTTTTAATATATTTTATATTATCTAAAGCAAACTAATACATTTTCTATCACAAATAATTAACGAATGGAGAGAAATAAGGCTTATCTAATCAATTAATGTTAACAGACTTCAATAGGCACAAAGTCCTAGAAAATGAAATAGAAATTAATAAATTAATAGTAAAAACATTTTTTAAAACAAGCTTTTATTTAATTGGTTTAAAAAGAAGACAAATCTAACCCTGACGACAGTAGCCATGAAGTGACGTCATTTTATTCTTCTCAGCAAACCCTTTCATTTGATACCCATAACATGATGGTAGATAAGAAAATTTTGTCCGCCATAGTGAATTTAGTGTGACGTGTTTTTTATTCATATTCTTCTCAGCAAACCCTTTTAATTGATCCCCATATCAAGAGGGTGCAAAAAAAATAACGTCCGTCAACTTTGGGCGTTCGGCATATTAGATTTAGAATGACGTCACCTACATAATTGTCATTAAAACAAAAGGCATTTCTTTATAAGCTTACTAGAACTTACTATAGTTACCAGAGCATTTCTTTATACAGTTTGGATACTTCCATGTGTTCATATTGTTACGTTTTTTTTTATTTTAAATAACAGTTTATTTGTTAATAATGTATTTAAACACTTATTTGTGTTAAATCAATACTATTCTAATTTATATATATTTCGAATGTCTTTAAATTGTTCACTATTTATCTTCACAACTGTTTGTATACGACTGACCGCTCCGTGTTCCTCCACCAATATTTATATACAAATTTAAAATTATGGTGAAGGCTCTAGAATGTTCTTCGCCAAAACTAGTAACATTATCACGTTCAATCTGGAATGTACTACAAAGCGCCTTCACCATAGTCGTCACATATGTTTGGTCTTAAGAGGTTTAATTATGTATGATAATCGGACAAGTTGAGCCTCAAAGGCCAAATAAAAGAGAGAGGGACTTGGAGGATTAGAGCATGACTGAATAATGAAATAGCTCGCATTACAATATGTTACCAAGCATGTAACTGCTACTAACCACGCCGGTTATGTGGTAACAATGCGCAAAGTGCAGAGTTTCTTAAAATTCAAATTTAGTTTAGAAATCCCCCAATTTAAATTACATTTGACACTTGACATTAAATATGTTACCAGAGTAACCACAATCCTGTAACCAAGTATGGTGTAGTAAGCTTATAAATAAATGTCATAAACGTGTATGCTAAATTTCAGCTCAATCAGTTGAGGATGGATAATTGTTTTAAAATTCAGTTGCAAGATTTGACCTAAACAAACATACAAACATTGCAAGTTAACAAAAAAGCTTGTAAAAATGCATTTATTCACAGAAGTACAAGTATAAAAATTTAATATTTCAAGTCATTTTTCCGTAGTACCAAAAAAATGTAATATGTGAATAGTCGAAGTGCTCTGTCAGTGTACGCTGAAGTCCTACGCCTATGGCATCGTTCTAAAATAGAAAACTTTTCCTCCGTGGGGGATTTTTCCGCTCTAATCGAATAAAGGAACCTGTCTCGGGCAAAGTAAGCGATATTTCGATTGCAAACACAAAAATCGCTTCAACTAATCTCTCACTAGCTACTTTATAAAACGTATTTATGTTCTTCGGGAGTCTCCTCTCGTTCCGAAAACCGGGCGATAAATCATGCCCGAACAACTGGAAACAATAAATCAGGAAATCCCCTAAATTCATTCCGAAGAAAGCAAGCAACAACGCGAAATTTCCGCCCGCACTTTTTCTCTCTAAGGACTCCCATTATAGTCCGGAGGCGGTTTGTAACAAGTTTTTAAAACAAATAAAAATAAACATATTAACTTGTAAAAGCGGATATGTGATTAAGACAAAATAAAATAGCAATAAATTTCAAAGGCATGTCACATAATATTATAACAGTAATTTGAGCCCGATCTACTGTTATAATTTTAATCAGGGGAGATAGTGAAAAAAAAAAAGAAACGTGGAACCAATGTTTCCCAAAAAGTATCACTATCTACCCCTGAACTAATTTTTCTCAGGGGAAATGGGTACAATAGAAAAATACAATGAACATATCATGAATTTAATTTTATAGATTGGGTCGTTATCTAGTTGGTGTTGGTCTAAGTTTCAATGAAGGAAGAATGACTTTGACAAAAATGACAAATTAATAAAATTAAAGGTTACGATTAAAAAAAGCACGTAAAACTAATTCCTTGTAAAAAGTATATGTTATGCGATATATGGAAATATTTACCACTCT